CCACACCCCAAGTGCTCTCGGGCTGCTCCCACAGCACCAGCTGGTGGCTCGGCCTGAACTGGGCACCTCACACACCGGGGACCCAAAGCCCAGGGAGCTCACAGAGAGGGGCGGAAAAGACTCACCAGTTGTTGAATTCGGTGCCGTTGGCCCATTTCCAGGGCTGCCCTGGGTTCCTCCGGAGGCCGATCCAGTGGTGGGGTTTGCCTTTATGGTGCTGCAGGAAATCCTAGAACAGCGGAGGGGAAGGGGTTGTGAGGGTCTGACCCTGCTGCTCCCCGGCTCTGGGCAGGGAATCCCAGGGGCGCACAGAGGGGTCTGAGTGTTCCCAGGGGGTGGCTGGGGATTTGCCTCTCCCCCTTTACCAGCTCTGGGTAATTCAGTATTAACCCTCCCCCCGAAACCCAGCTCCCTCCACCCCGACCTCTTGGGAGCTGATGGTTCCAAGCTACCCCACCCCCAGACAAGCTCACCCCCAAAACCCAGCTCTCCCCACCCTGACCTCCCCAGGGGACTGGGGCTGCTCTTGGGAACTGCTCCTCCCACCCCCCACGCTGGGCCAGGCTCTGTGTGAAACCCTCACCTGACAGAGCACCTGGGCTCCCACTAGCCCTCTCTGGGGAAGGTGAAACACACAATCTGCATGGGGGAGGAGGCCAGGACTGAGAGAAGACGCCCCCTCCTTGTCACCCAGGAGGGGCCGGGGCCAGATGAAACCTAGATTTCGACCAGCCCCCAGGAGGCACCGAGTCCAGCCCCCTGCCCAAAGCAGGACCAACCCCCAACTCGATCATCCCAGCCAGGGCTTTGTCAAGCCGAGACTTAAACACCTCTAGGGATGGAGATTCCACCCCTCCCTAGGGAACCCAGCCCAGGGCTTCCCCACCTGCCTAGGGAAATACTTTGTCCTAATATCAAACTGCAACCTGAGCTTAGGGTTTCTCCCTCTCTTCAGCCAGCTGCTCTTTGCTCTACAGAGGAGCTGTGTCCTCCCCCACCCTCCATGCAGCTTGACAGGTCAAGAGCTCAGCCTGAGAGAGGGGCCGTCCGGGCATGTGGGGCCCTGCACAGCTGGAGAGCGCCCAGATAACGACACTGAAATGAGACAGGAAGAGGTGGGCTGAGGGGACCTGCCCATGGATGGGCAGAAATGATCCCGGTGCCCCAGGCTGCTGAGACTCCTCTGACCCTGGCAGGTGCTGAGGGGGGAGGGGTATAAGGAGCCAGGGGGACGCTGGGAATCCAGCCCCATGGGGGGGAGGGGGGTCACCTGACCCTGCTCTCACTGGGCCACTGATCTCAGTTCACATTCGACAGGGAGGCAGCTGACAAAGGGCTCGTGTGTCTAAGGTCACAGAGCTGGGCCAGGATGTGGGCCAGACGGGGTGGGCAGGGCAGGGAGCGGCAGGGGAGGGGGCCGTGGTCATGGCCAGC